AGTCTGATAAATCACTGCCTTTTCTTCATTCATATGACTCCTTAAGATTAACTGCTTCTCTGATGCCCACAAGAATGTAATTCAGCCATGATCATATACATGTACCTAAACTGCATGATCTTATTGTTGTATATCTTCTACTTGTTCACCATCCCCTTTCCTGTTCTTTGTTACTCTTACACATCACCTCTAAACTAGTTTTAGCTCTCTGGGGCGGGGGCAGTATTTCCTATTTGTCCTTCAAAATACCTAGCAAACTGACTTGAGTCATGTAAACATAATAAAAATTTACAGTAAATAACTATTCAAAGAATCCAGGAGTAACTTTAAAGACTGCTGAATCCAAATATTTGCAAAGCATGAAATATAGTGTACAAATTACAGTATCTCCCATTTTCCGAGGGTCCGGGAAAGAAAGATGACCAGTTGACTTCCAGTACAAAAGACAATGAAACAAAATAAACATGTAAAAAAATCAAACTCTGATTAATAAAAGGTTCTTAGATATGTACTAATACCTTTGTGGCCCTGATGCTCCTGCCTGTGTTGATTAATGTAGCACGGGGGCCCCATCTGAGTATGGAAATTATATGGCGGCACATGAATGCTTGCGAAATTGGGGTTGGGGAGCAGGAGGGGGTGAGGTCTCCAACTGGGGGTGCAGGCTCTGGGGTGGAGCCAGGAATGAAGAGTTCAAGGTGTTCGAGGGGGCTCCGGGCTGGGGGTTGGGGTGCGTGGGGAGGTGAGGGCTCTGGCTTGGGGTGCAGGCTCTGGAGTGGATGGGATGAGGGGTTTGGGGTGCAGGAGGGAGCTCTGGGCTGGGACTGAGGGGTTCGAAGGGCGGGAGGGGGCTCCGGGCTGGGGCAGGGGGTTGGGGCGTGGGAGGAGATCAGGGGTGCAGGCTCAGGGAGACGCTTACCTCAAGCAGCTCTGGGAAGCAGCGGCATGTCCCCCCTCCAGCTCCTATGTGGAGGTGCGGCCAGGTTCCCAGCCAATGGGAGTTGCGGGGGTGGCGCTTGGGGCAGGGGCAGTGTGCGGAGCCCCCTAGCTGCTCCTACACATAGGAGCTGGAGAGGGGACATGCCGCTGCTTCTGGGAGCTGTGCAGAGCCATGGCACGTGTGGAGCGAGACAAGCCCCAGACCCCGCTCCCTGGCAGGAGCTCGAGTGCTGGATTGAAACGTCTGATGGGCTGGATGTGGCCCATGGGCTGTAGTTTGGCCAACCCTGATGTAGAATCTCAAAATTTAACAAGTGTGTTTGAGTCAACAAAATAAAAACTGACCTTCATTTTCTCACCGTATAGTCTCTCACCTGCAGTCAGAATTATAAATATTCTTAAATATATGAAAACTAATTTTTTCCTCCATGCAGGTTCATCGTTGGGTCAATTATGAATCCATGTTGAAGGAATGCCTTGTTGGAAGAATGGCACTCAAACCTGTTGCTGCTACTACAGGTACATTTTATAAAATGGAATATTTTAGAATCAAATACATTAGAAATTAGATTATTTGAAAGTCTTGGGACACCTGAAACCCTTGGGTTGTTTGAGAGTTGGCCCTCTGAAGTGAGGGAGAAGATTTAGATACCCATATCAGACTTTCCCAAAGCCATCTGTCTATTGATGGAGCTATATTATAAACATAGGCTTATATACATAGTATCCCTCTGTTTAGCTCCAGTTTGTCAGTCACTGGGAAGCAGGCAGTTCAGACAGGTCATCTTCTCTTTTTATCACAAGATGCTACTTTTAATTTCCCCACATCCTGTGCCAGCTCTGCTGAGGTACTTCCTTTGCATAACCTAGAGCAGTTTGTAAAGCCTCAACTCATTTTCATGTGGTATTTCCATTAGATAATGTTTAAAGCCCAAAATGTCAGTTATGGGCTCACACTTCCTAAAATATACTTTTAATTTTATTAAGCAGTTTGAATAAGCTAACTACTTAGGTGGTAGTGTGTTTCCCTACCTGTGCTTTTTGGAGTTAGTTCAAGTACATTGGCATAATTAAAAATAAACCAAACTCAGTGGTATCTATTGAATCGATTACAATCTAAACTTCCCTGCAGTGGGTGGGATGCAGTGTTACACAGCTGTGGCCACTCATTTGTTTGCTCCAGTGCCATTTTTTTCCTGTGTGTGTTTGGCTTTTCTTCTT